CCCCCGCCCCCCCCCCCCCCCCCCCCCCCGCCCCCCCCCCCCCCGCCGCCGCCCCGCCCCCCCCCCCCCCCCCGCCCCAGATTGGGGGTTCATATCACATACCGACTTGACAGGGATGGAGAATGACCTCCTCCTTATTGCTCAGCTGCTCCGCCGCCTGCGCGCGGTCATAGCCCGGCTCGATACCCAGGCGCACGTAGACGTAAAAGCGCGTGATGAGGCCGGCGAGGCGGGCGGAAAGCACGGGGCCGTTAGATGCGGCGTAGGCGGGGCAGGGGGCGCGTCCGCCGGTAGCACGAGGAGGTGCGTGAAGATCTCGAGGCGGATCTCGGTGGGCAGGGCTAGGAGGAGACTGGCTTTGGGCGGCGAGGGCCCGTTCTTGTCTTGCTCGAGGCCGGTCTCTGGGATGCTGTGTTGTGGTGTTTCGAGCGCCGGCATGGTGGGCGTGATTGATTAGCTGGATCTACCCGCCTTCCCGACCTAAGTCTGTGAGTTTTCTCCTTTCAAATCCTGTTTTTGTAGAGAGGGAATAATACGGGAAGATCACTTACTGCAGGCCAATGAATTAATGCAACCTTCCTGCATGTGGCAGCTTGGCGGCGAAGATAAGAAAGCGCGAGATCTACATAAATAGGACTTGTGAAGCGGTCACCGCATCTACGAGCTGTATTTTTAGAAATGATCGGAAAATATGCGAGTCATTCAGATTTCTAACCCCGTGTATAGGTATTATTCATTCTCTAGGGGCGCCCTCGCTGTGTAAATAGCTCATTTTCCCATAAGACAATTGATCGTGGTACATATATGTACCTACCTAACATAATAAAGGAAATACTAAGAAAAACACCAAGGTATAAAGTATGCCAGTCCAGATTCAGTCTCATAAATAACCATTCTCATCATCCAAGAGGCAACGGATAATTACCTAGGTACCTAGGTAGGGTGCCTAAGGTTGGTTTCCTCTATTTGCCTTTAGAGGTCGACATATTCTTTCTCTGTTCTGCCCGTAAGCCCTCGTCCACCGCAACGTTTTCATACTCTCCGTTTAATTCCTTGATGTAATCATCGAACTTGATAGAAGTGTCGATGATGAGCTTCATCTTCGAGTAGTCAAGCTTGCAATTTGCCGGGTTCCGTTGCTGCTTTCGTTGCCATCGGGTGTACTGCCGCGCGTTCGTGATGGCGTTCCGTATTTCTCTTCCGTTCATCTTGAACTGGGCCAGGTTCTCGATATTATCCCTTAGGTCGGCGGCATCCATCTCCTGTTCCATGATATGATTAGCGAAAGACCTCAACCTCAAGCTGCTTTATAGTCGTAGTTAATATGTTGAATAGGCACCAACCTCTTCTTCTATATCCTCGAGACGCGAGATGAAATTCTTCCAGATCTCGGTGCGTTGGTAGAAACTGAGATCGCTATAGTGAATAGCCAACTGAATACGCGATTTGAATGCCTCGTCGAAAGTGCCGACTCTGTTGCTTGTTAAAATCAATATTCCCTCGTAATACTCCAGTACTCGAAGGAACACGGATACCAGGGCGTTTCGGTGGAGATCCTGGAGGCTGCGCTGTTCGAGAAATACGTCGGCCTCGTCAAGAAGGACGACACACTCCCAGGTCTTGCCGAGGTGCAAAACGGACTCGAGGTAGTTTTCAACGTCTTCCGGTTCTGTTCCAATATCGCCGCATGTAACGGGATAAAGGGGCTTCCGGGCAATCTCGGCTACACTCTCTGCTGTCAGGGTCTTACCCGTACCTGGACCTCCATGCAATAACATTATCAAACCGTTCCCTTTACCGCTGATGAGATCTGTCGACTTCGTGGTCTCGATCTGTTCGCTGACGAGGGCTCGAATCAAACTTTTCGTCTTTTCCTCGGGAACGAGCCTCTCGAAAGCTATCTCGTTCCATACTACATCGCCTATGTTATCGACCTTGAGGTCTACCCATTTCTTCTTCCTGAGGTTAAAGCCCTTGATCATCATAGGCAGTAAGTACAGGAACTCGGTTGAAGGCGGGCCATCTCGTTTCATTGCTCCAGATCCAAGATCATCCGTCCCTAAGTCCTCCTTGATGTTCCGGAGGGTACTATCAGAATTTGTTTTAGGTTTATGCAATTCTCGATATACTGCCATATCGATCATGTACCTTTCATCATCCGAGTAATGTGACTCCCGAGTAGAATCCTCATGGTATGAGACCAGGCACTTTGTACGACACTTCCAAATGCGTTCCCCCCTGCGCCGCAGTTTGTCTGCTAGGCTTTTGCCGGCAAAAGCTAAAGGACACACGCTCAAGCTATCAATTTCCAACTGAGAGTTGTTGTTGGCATCCGTTTCCCATATTAGTGCATCGTTATTACATGAAAACACACCATTGAAATTCCAATGACGGGCCATGAGAGTGTATCGTACTTTTGATGCCTTATCCTTTAGAAATATCTTGTTGGTATCTTCAACTAGTTCTTCGGTAACCCAGGAACTGCATAGAAGGCCCCTTACTTCACTAGCTTCTTTCTGAACCACCACATCACCGGGTTTAAAAATGTATTTGAAGCATCGCCTCGTAATTTTGCCGCTGTCAATGATTTTCTTGACTTCATTATACTCATGTCCATAGTGAGACAAAACATAGTCAAATAATAACCGGAATTGCTTCCCCTATGAGTGGTCTAACGACTTGAGGAATGGATCGATACCTTGTCTTGAGCCATGGTAAAAGGCTAGATACGGAGCTGAAAGCCTGTTCAAGTCCTGAATAGTAGCAGAATCATGACCTAGAGCATTTATACTACCCGTAGCGTCTCTAACGAAACCACAGAATTGTATGAACTTCATAAGAGCAGATTTCAAAGCTGTAGAGGTTGTCTCTATCGTCTCTGAGTCGTGTTTTGGTACGGATGATGTATTATTAACATCCTTTTGGCCTGATTCAGGGATAGAAAAGTCTCGGTATACGTCGAAGCACACTTCTGGATGCCGGTCCAGATATGACTGGGTACTCTGTATTGCGAGACTGCCTATCAAAGTGTCGCTGCTTTCATCATCACCCTCTGTCCACTGTGGTTGGTCAAGGTACATGCGAGAAGAGTTATCTGGAGTGTTCACGCGGTATATCATCTGGCATCTCGGCTCTGGTGATGGAAGCGCCTCAGTTGTGCGGGATTCTACCAGGGATGCTTTCAAGCTCTCTAGATTCCTTCTCAAAGCCGATAGATCTGCGGTACTGCATCCCTCTGGCGAAGCTGATACTTCTGATATTGAAAGAATACAGCTGCTTAATGTGGGATGCGGGACGAGACCTGCTCCTGCTTCTGAGTTGGTAGTACGGGTATCAGGGCCGTCGAGGCTTCTAAGCGCTGGGTTCTGCGTAGCCATATCTTGGTTTTTTATGAAGTTCCCTTTACGGGATGTACGTTTTCTTATGACAGGCGGGAGTAATTCTCCGTTATTGTGACTTGATATATCTTGTTGATCTTTGGATTCTTGCCCCTTTCTGACGGTAGGTAGTATAGCCTGGAATATTTGAGCTGTGCGTTGGTATACGCTGTCGCCGGTGCGGTCGGCTGAAATGGTACTCTGTACTTGCGCTGGATGCTTCCTGTGTTTGTATTTACGATCTTCTTTTTGTCCTCCACTGTCGTCGTCTTCCTCTAGCTGCTGGTTTCGAGAGGCCTGGTCCGAGAATAAATGCAAATATAGGTCCATAGCTTTTCTTTGAAGAGGAATTTAGATAGAAGATTGTTCTCTCGAATTAATTCCCCGCGTCAGAGTGAGTCATTTCCCGCCTTGGGCTGCCAGGTATCAAGCTCAGCTCCTCTCTCTGTCGCCCTATCAGTGAGTAGAAAAGTAGAGAGGAGCGTTACTGTGTACTGTACCTAAGTACACACGATTGTGACGTCGAACCCCCCTGTATATAAGCAGAAACGAGAGCTATCATTTGCTTATACGGACGAGTCGTATGCATTGCCTACCTGGTACCTACCTAGGTATTGATAGGTTAGGTACCTAACCTCATATTATGGTAAATCCAAGAATTTTGAATTCATCCTCCATTCTGTATTTGTATCTTCTATTGTCTCCGGTCTTTGATTATTTATAACTGATGGATGATTTTAGAAGCTGGTATACAGCTCCTCCTGGAGCAGAAATGTTAGTGAATACTACCCTCAACAAGATTTGGCATTGACTCGGCGCATCCATAGTAATGCCCAGAACGTGTTCAAAGAAGCTTTGGATGCCTTTTCAGCCGAGTCATCGGGAGATCAGTCGAAAAGGGAATGGATTGTCAACTCTAATCATAACGATCTTCAATCCGTCTTTCAAACAGTCATAGACGCCCGCCGCCAGTATGAAAAGGACAAAGGGGACTCGAAAGTTCGAAGGGCGCTTATCAGGGTGTCGGAGACGATACATCATTATGAGGGTATCATAGATGTACTCGTTTCATCGCATCCCGGTAGGTATCACTCTTCTCCCTTAAGCCTTAGTATAGCAACCTCTTACATTGCGTAGAATACGCAGCCTTAGGCTGGGGTGCCATAAAGTTTCTATTCGTTGTGCGTGAGAAGTTTCCTATCAACCCGATGAATCAGAACAACGTCTCATGCGGAAAATATAGGCCGTGACAACCCATGAAAAACTTATTTACAAACTTTCTACTGGGCTGAGCGACATCGCTGGTGTTCTGCCCCTTGCAGAACTCGTCAGAGAGTTATATCCTATACCACACATCAAGCGTGTGATCGTTGCCATCTACGCTCAAATCTTGGAGTTCCTACTGCGAGCGCTCAAGTGGTACCAGGAAAGCCGGATAAAACGCGCACTACACTCAATCACACGACCAGCCGAACTATATTGGAACGATATACAGAACACTATAGTTGCACTATCCAAATATATGTATCAATTGGCTGCATTTAGCAGCTATGCCGAGCTGCGAGATATGCACATGGCCGCGCTAGAGAGTTCCCATGAAAATAAGCAACGTATGGACCAGTTGAGCAACAAAATCGAGGAGTTACGGGCCTTGATTATCAACAGGCAATGCATTGGCACACCGGCGAAGATCCAGACCCGGCAGCGCCTCTCATTAGATCAACTACATCAGGTCCTCGGTGCTCTTACCTCAACTCCTCTCCCCGACCCAGTGGAGATACTCAAATCATCACTGGTCTCATCGGATAGATATCTCCAGAGAGCCTCGCACCGAAGGCCGGCGTTCTGGTTGAACAAGAAAATCCAAGACTGGAACAGTAGCCGGCTCTCTTCCTTAGTGATGGTGAAAGGGCCCAGTCAGGTACGGCTGCACATGCAGAACTTCTGTGTTCGATCTATCGCGATGCTTCGGGAGGCTGAGGTCCCAGTGATATGGGTCCTAAAAGGAACCGGTAGGAACGAAGCAACATCCATAGACGACGTGTCCACCGTCGATCTGCTCAGATATCTCATTCCCCAGGCCATCACCCTCAACAAGAAGATCCATACTGATGAGGATCTAAGTGCGCTTCTTGCGGCTTACCGTGCTGCGAGAACCGAGGATGATTGGGTTAATGTACTTGCATCGTCCCTTGAAGGTATCCCGCAGCTTTATATCTTTGTTGATGTTGAAGTATTATCCCAGCACCAAGACGGATTGTCAACATTTTGGCCTTCGAGGTTACTGAAGATGTTCGACGACTTCTCCGCGCGGAATATCAATACTGTTATCAGGTCGGTTATTCTGGCTAATATAGCGATCCCGGTAAATTGTAAATTACTGACTGGTAGCAGAATAATACTAGTAGGTTGTAGTACGCCTCTAGTTAACGAAGGCGAGGACTACCAAAAGTCATTGGTGACTGTAAGTGGTACAAGGCAGGCCCGCGTAACGATGAGAGCACCACGTCAAAGAGCTCCAAACACAGGTAGTCAAGGAGGTTTGGAATTGGGGTTACTGGCTAGTGGAAAGCAAGTTCGTCCTCGCGAAAGACAGTTACCACGGCAAAAGCGATGATGCTATCGACTCAGGCGCTTTCCAGTTAAGGTACACCCTATACACTTAGTGTACCTCCTGTGTTGGATGCCAGGTTCCTAACTTAAGGTGTCTAAGTTTATGACTGTTGCAAGGAAACAAGTAAGATTTACTATGTATGCCCCCAAATTTGATAATGCTTAAATACGAGCACCTAACACGTATTTCCCATGACCACTATTAGATCAAAGTACAGTAATGGTCCAAAACTATCCGACCCACCTCACCAAAACTCAGCCTTGACACTCTGCAATAGCTTTACGAATAAAAGTCATAAATATATGCTGTTAATTCTAGGATATAGATATCTGAAAGAACTAAAGCCTTTGTACCAAGCTCTTATTTAAAAACCCCAAAATGAGTAGAGCAATCCTAGTTGAAAGTTGACTCAAGTCGACCTTTTTTTTTTTCCCATACAAAAGACTAAGATAAGTCAACTCTGCACCAGGATACCTAACTTCACGGATTTTGAGTGCACCAGAAACCTTTGTACACAAAAGATGTATCTAACTCGAATCCCTACAAGTTAGATTTAAGCTTTTATTTTCATCACTTTTATTGGTAAAGATATTGCAGAGTGACAAAGTAGCAAAATGGTTGTTTTGGTGCAAATTTCTAGGTGGGCCGGGTACTTTTCGACTTTGACTATAGAAAAAGGGAAAAGCATCAGGGTTGATTAGACACTCCGCTTAACAGATCAAACATCTTAGACAAGGCCGGGCATCTATTCTAACTCAACTCTAGCCTATCACTCATGCTGTTGTTATGATACCACTGAAGAGTTAATTGTAAATGGGTCAGGAGACAATAGGGCTGCCTCTCAGAATAGCCGGTAGGTAGATACAACACCTATAAAAAGGGTATCCTTACCCCTAACCTTAGTATATGAATATACCAATAGATGCTACCACTACCATGCCACCTGCTAAACTATCAGAGATATATGGCGATACAGGGATATATGGAATATGTTGTGTAAAGTGTCGCCAGTTTCCTCGTAAGAGAATAGAAGGCCAATGTTACTACTAAGTTTAACACTAAGTTTAACCGAATAGGTACACTACATCACTACCTACCTACCTATATGACATCCATCAAGGGCATAAACCTCTACCTGACATAGACACTTACCTCTCAAGGTTTACCAAGCGTTAAACCCAAGGAAGAGGGTTGGGTTACGTATAGTTACATCTCCACTCGCGCTTCCAACTGGGTATTCAGATACGTGACTAATAAGATAGGTACCTACCTAGTATATATGCGCTGAATGCTCGTATGAAATAGTTTTGCCAATAAGATCTGGGAACGGGGTTTAAATACCCATTGCTTTGTCAAAGGCACCGCCAACAGGGAAAGTTTAACCTACCCCTTATATTATGATTTATGTCCGTACACCTCAAGCACCCAGGTGGGCAGCACATAAACACGACAATGCTTGTATCTGCAGATGTTGTGGGGACTGGGGACTGGGGACCGCGGGCTCAGACCACTTATAACATAGCCGCATTAATATCGAAATCAACTTACTTTACTAATAATAAAAATAGGCAGATAGACAAACGTGTCGTAAATAGTCCAGCCTTCCTGTTGAACTCACGCTGCCCCATAATTGGCCAGCGCATTAGGCGCGCGTGTCATTCGCGCCTGGAAGCACGCATCCGTTCACGAGGGTTCAAGTTACAAAAACGGGGTACTGAACTTACGTATACCAGGGCCAAGGCTACTTCACTAGCTGTGATTGGCTGCCAGGGGTTCCTTAGCGGTGTAAAATTGCCTAAAGTGGCAATTAGCTGTCTCTGGTTGGGTAGGGCTCAGGGACGCGGATTGGTCGGTTGGGTTGGTTCAGCAACTAACAGCTCCAATAACAGGTACCTAAACAGAGCAAAAAGACTTCAGCTCCTTTTTCTATTATCGATGACTCACTGACCGGCCCACAAAGTAAGCTTCGCTCATTCACCAAATTCATGTGCACTCGACCTGCCTCACATTAGTAAACAAGGGGGTGAGGGGAAACCCTGATCTGGTATATCGACTCAACGTCGAAAGAGTAGTTGTAATGTATGTGACGGATAAACGGGGACGGGGACGGGGGCAGGGAACGATCTCGTCTTTCTCTTTCTTCGATCCACACTTCTCAGATCTCAACAGTCAGTAACTCAATGCCATCTTGCACGAATATGAAGACAAAGACAAACAAACTTGCACTCAACAATAGCTATCGAAAAAGCTGGTGATTTTTTTTTCTTCTGGTTTCCGACTCGAAGCTTATTTGAAAATTCAATACTATCTGCGAGGTTGTGTTCTCTCAAAGCTCTCTAGCAAACTGCTTCTTTTGGTACTCGAAGTTCTTTGATACTCGATGGCGCAACACCTTTTCAGGCTCAGGTAAGTAGAAAACTAAGATGCCTGTGCGCTTCTCGTAGCTACTAAGTCGAAGGACAAACGGCGCCCGCTTTTCGACGGTTGCCAAATATCGTTCGGCGGGTTCGCGGGTACGATATCGTTGGTCGTAAAAACCAAGCAAAGACAAGAATATTTGAGTATGATACGGTCGGCTCGAGACGTCGCACGTAGTGCTAACATTGCCTTTTTTTTTTCTCCTCGAGTCGCCTGTCTTGATTCCGTGGGTGCGGCTGTAACCGCCACTGCCTAGCCATTATTTACTCTTCAACACCACTATGATTACCCCCCTGAACACCATTACAAAGAATAACGCACCTCCCTTGTTCATTCGTACACAAACAACTACCCACCTTACCAGCCCCGATATGTTGTGATCCTGGAAATGCATGCATTGTGAAAATAGCTTTTCGCCCGGGCTTTGGCCATCGTCAGGGTTCTCTATAGACTATGTGACTTCCAGATATGGATGTGGTATCACGAACTGTCGAACCTCTCCCGATGTAAACAAAGGAAATAGTTGAATATTGTCACAAAGGTTGTTTTGTAGTGGGGTCTGCAATGAGTGGTAGCTCATTGAATAGCTTCTAATTTAAGATGCCTTCCCACATTCCTGGTCCACCGGGACCACCGACTGCAGGGTGGATGGAAGGAATAAACGGCCGGGCATCGTACGAGCAGCACATCCGCTTCCGGCCTCCATTTGATAGAACTGGCGTCCGTTGGTTTCCCGATTCCGGAGTCGGGAGACCACAGGCCGTAACACCCGGACGTTCCTTTTCGTAGCACTGGCTGCCTAGAATTTCACGCACATTCTCTTGGAGCGAGTTATCGATTGACAATGGTCGGCTACGCTTTGAACCAGGCTTGGTAGAAGAGCGAGGCTGCGGGTGACAGTTTTGAAGCTGGGAATGGAGTTGCTGTAAAACCCTGGCAGCATTCGCCGTTTCGTCCAATTCACATCCTCTGGCCAATGGGGTTTCCAATGACATTTGCACCAAATCCTTACTGACCGGGCCGGTGTAAGATTCGGGAGAGGATGTAACACAATTCTCTTCGTAGTCTTCTGGCACTGAAGCGATGATTGTTCTTAAGCTATACCTTTCACTACACAACTTCGCGTATCGGCATCGCGCCTGAACATCCAATTTGGTGGACGGCGCGCTGGCCAATGACGAAGCTGATGAGATCGAGGATGAGCGAGACGTTCGTGACGAGTCAGATATCATCGATTCTGGCGAAGAAGCCGTCGAAATAGAATTAGCAAGAGACGAGCGACGTGTGAAAACGTAACTGAGAGGTGAGGAACTGAGAGATCCAGGCCACCTATCCAGGTTTTGCGAAGCAGTTACGTTTGCAGCTTGTGCCATAGCGTAACCCATCGAGCCTTTACTACTAAGGAGACAAGTAGCGGTACTTGCGGCGGGAGTGCTAAACCCAATTGATTGCGGTGTGAGGCGAGGAGTAGGAAGCAGACCTAGAGCCGGAGCGGGACGACCCGGAGTATTTACAGGAGCGGGTGCAGGCTCCATGACGAATGGAATATTGTAAGTCTTCGGCGTAGCTGCGTCACTCGTATACGTTAACTTATCCACCTGTCCGCAAAGGCTCGGCAGAGACGGAACCGGCGTCGAGTCCTTTGCTTTAATTGTGAGAGGACTTAGCGGAATAAGCTCTTCGATATTGCCCAACCCCGGCTCAAGCCGTAGAATCAAGTTCTTCCAATCTTGATTTTGTTGCTCTGAGATCTGAGAACAAACAGAACCGGATGGAGGTTGTGGTGGTGTGTGCCTCAGTACAATTTCCGTCCAACGCTTGAAGACATCATCCGTGATATGGAGCTTCCACTTTACAGCAATTAAGAATGCCATCTCATTTTGGTTAATTTCTTGTGTTGCGAGCCCTGAAATCTTGCTCCAAGCTCGCGCCGAGTAGTTTCGGTCTTGTAGATACTTGGAAGCAAGAATTAGAGCAGCAAGGAACATTCGACGACCACACTGCAGCACCCGGTTCGCATGAACCTCGTCGGGTTGCTCCATAGTGAAATCGTGATTAGGAACATGAGGTCTGATCAATATTAAATAATACAGCGCAACTTGCAACGTAGAATAGCTCGTACGTGAGCGGCGCAACGTTTCTTGGATAAAAGTCCGTAGTGGTAGCACGGCCTTGTTGCCAAGCTCCTGCCGGTGAAAAACGGAAGACAGTGGCCAAATTGCTTCAACTATCTGCGTCGATGAATCTAAGGGAGGGAGTTGAGCAAGAGAATATGGGTTAAAGGGGAATATATCGTTACTGCTTACCGACGAGGCTATCGACAAAATTGACCTTTCGATCGCTTTGGCGGACTAGAGACGGAGGGCATCCAGTCCTGGACGTCGCGCTGCTACTGGTACGGCGCGGATTCCTCCGGAGTTCTTGTGAAACACCGGCTTGTTGCGGTTGTCCTGGCCAACAGACAGGTGGAACATGGTTGCATAAAATATCAGATCGGGTCGGCATAGATTGCCGAGTAGGGGTGTAAGAATCGCATCGTTCTGATGCGTCGGAAGTGTATACGGAGATGGAGGTATCATCAGAGGCCTGAGATGAAGTTTCAGACCAGACCGAGGCTGAGGACGAAGAGGCGGAAGAGGCTATCGAAGAACTATAAGGTCCATTTTGGGAGGAATTGATAAAATCCAGCGAATCGTGTTCGCTGCACATCATCTTGGAAGAGTAGGAGGTAAAGATCTTTACGAAACTAAAACCTCCAGTCGCCCGTTAAGCAGAGTCAACCGATTAGATCGTTATACCGAAACAGATCGTGAAATCTTATCGAGTAAGAAGCTTCACAACAACATATACTGCTGTTATGAGGCGATCAAGAAGTCGGAGAAAAAAGATGGTTTCTAGACACAAGTGCTAGTAACCAGATTTTCACGAACGATCAAACCGGAAGACTTAGCGAGACGGACGACTGGAGTAGAGGAAATGGCTATCGCAAGCTGCATGTTGTGGTTTATTTGTTTCTACTAAGGAAACAAAGATTTGAAGGTAGTGACAGTAGTCGCACCAGCTAGATCTGCATCGAGCTGAGCGGCTACTGGACTAAAGGTAATACAGGAAAAGAAGAAGGGAAAGGATTATCGGAAGTGAGAGTCGGTGCGAGTTGCTGCGAGTTGCAGCGGGTTGCGGTTTGTCGCAGCGGGTTAGGATTTGAGACGTGTTATCGCGGGTATATCGTGTACAGTGTAATATCGTGTATGTTAATCGAATTAATCAACTATCGGAGTAGGCGCGACTCGAATAATTGAGTTGACGTCGGATTGGCTACAATTGGGGACTTGAGTTTCTTGTCTCGTCGAAAGCTGCGTGAGATCGGATTATGCAAGGTACAACATAGGCTGCAACCACTAATCTGCTACCGGCAAAGTGCGCATATGCGGACTATTAATCCCTTAAGATCGGTAGAAAAGTTGGGACGACTCCGAGTCCTTTTAAATTGAAGTCATACCAGAGGCGAACCAGGCGACAATGTATGTATGTATGTTTGTATGTATGTACGGTACGAATTCAAGAGGGAGCGGAGAGGGTCGATGAGTCGCGTGTTCCGAATCCAAGGATGAAAGACGAAAGTGAAGGCGAAAAGTGACAGGGTGCCCGTCTAGTTCTAAAGTGGCCTTTGGGTACCTATGTGATGACTCTTTTGCAGGTGTGAGGTGGCGAAGACTCCGATCATTACCGCTATGTGGGCTGTTGTACAGGTGGTCTTTGCTGAACCTTTTAGGGGGGTGGTAGGTGCTTTCCGAGGTACCTAACACCTAACTGAGGGCTGAGGTGCTGAAAGAGAAAAAAAACCCCGGACCCGCTGTAAGGTAAGCTAGGATAGGATGGCTTAGGTGGCTAGACTTGTGCCGACGAACGCAGGTGCCGAATATAGACTGTATAAAATGGGTCTCCCGAGTGACTCCCAACCTTGAACTAGCACGTTGCAAGGAAAAATGACGGTCACAAGCGTGGAAGCCTGGGAATGGGTCCAGATCCAAAAAAGAGGCAGTGGCGATTGACCAAAGAACAAAGGGCTGAGAGGAGATGGAAATTCTTTTTTTTTTAAGACGAACAATAATATCTGTACAATTAGATAGGCAACGTGAGTCGTAAATGATGCAAACGGCGTGTTCTTTGAGTGAGTAATCTCAAATATTCATGTGGCGTTGCGTTGGTCTAGGAAAAGGGAGGAATAATAGTAATAATTGTCGTAGGACTGTTAACTTTGCATTGGAGCGCAACTTTTTTTAGGTTTTGATATTTGAATCGCTTCGTTAAATATCTTCCTTTTTTCCCTTTTTTATTCTTTTTATATATTCTTTCGGATAGCAGGAGTGCAAGTCAATGCCACTGCGAATCGAAAGCGAGATAGTGGGAGAGAGTAGAGAGGCTTCAGAAGAGGAGACGCGAGAAATCGTTTAAAAAACAGTAAAATTGAATATAAAAAGGAATTAAATAGTAAGAGACTATTCGCTTTGAATATTGGTCTTTTACAATATTACTTGGGAGCAGACTTTCAAGAAAGTCGCCTTGTCGTCGTCTAGATCTTCAAATCGAACATTGCGGCGGCCTTGTTCGATAAGAGAAAAAAGGAAATGGGAAAAAGGTAGCCGACGCTTGGGGCACCGATGAGTTTTGAATAACAAAACACAACGTAAAATCCAGTCGGCAGCACACTGGGGGGATTAAGCTTGCTTAGGATATGGGCATAAAATCAGACCAGGCTTGGTGACTATGCTTGTCCCACTTTTTGTATCTCAGTTCTATTTATTCAATTGGATAAAAAAAAAAGGTTAGTGGAGTTAGGACGAGCCACTCAGTACCTAGATAAACTATGTGCAAGGCTGGGGGTATTTTGCCTTTTTTTTGCTCTCTTCCTCTTTTTGGTTGTAAAGACGCACTCCACATACATTAGGTATGCACTTCATAATGTACAAATCCCACCCCCTTAGCCCTAGATCGGGAATAGTCAATTCTCTTCTCGGTGCTGGCGCCTCCCTCTTATTGGACAGAGGCATTAGAGTCGATTCTTTGATTGGTCAAAGACATTAGAACCAATTTCGTGATTGGCCACGTTGGAGATATGCACCTAAGCATCTACAGCTGTACATGCGTACCTAATGTGCCATCAACTGCAGCGAGCAAGGATTTGGCTTGGACATACTTAACCTAGGTAGGTACCTACACCAGGTACACTAGGTACCATGAAAGGTACCTAAGCATCTGAAGCCATCCCCTCCAAAGGTTTTCAAAGTTTTGAAGGTTTCAAGACTTTGAATAATACCAGATTAGGAACAGGCTTTAGCCAATCCATCGCAACTAAGCCTACCGCTAAGGTGCCAAGGGGCCAGCAAAACTTGAAAGAAAAGGTAAGGGTAGCCTTCTGTTCGACAACGGGACGATGGCAAGTTAATGAAAGAGTCATCCATCATCCCCTCCGCTGCACCAACCACACCCTCCCACCACTCCCCCTCCATCAACACATCCCTCGTCATTATTCTCCTCCTCCATAAGTTCCTTTCCCCTTTCCCATTCCGTCTTGCAGCAAGCCTATCTTCTACCACTAATAATCAGCCAAACATGTACGTGATGATATTTATTAGCTGGACGGCCACCTACATTAAGCCTGGTGGCAGGTTGGTTTCGTCGCCAGTTACTCGGCCATTTACTACCATCGATCACGCTATATTTGCCGAGGAAATATATAGCTAGCTAGCTTCCTTAGTGGCCAGCTACTCATTAGTCCATAGTCGGGTATAGGTTGCGAGGTTGCGATTCAATTTCTATGTCCGCTTTGGCCGTGGCCCGCCTGCCCACCTTGCAGTTGCTACTCCTGCGAGGCGCTCTATGAAATCAGAATAGTAGAAAAGGCAGTCAGGCTCTATGCGAAGTTTGCTTCGGGCAGTTAGTTTGGTTCGTCGCCACCGAAAGGGCGGCGGCAGCGGGAGCGGCAGCGGGACTTCTTCACTGGCAGTGGTAATTCAGTGTAACATCGTCACTTTTCCCTTCTCTCAGGGTGAAGCCGACATGGCTGACAAGGGATGGACTCCAAATAACTCTGGAACTCTGGTCTGGAAACGTCCAGTGCCATCGCCTCGGATACATCAACGCAACCAACTCCCCTTGTCCAACACCAGCCTGCATGAAATTTTGATAAAGGGTATCCGTCACGAGTAATTCGTATTTAAAAGTTGCTGCTAACATTCTTTTTGAGCTAAATGTGATTGGGCCCTTGTCTTGTTTCTAGATGGTTTCCCTGCGCGAGACGAGTCACACACCCTTCCATAAGTCCTGTCAGCCTAGACATAGGTAAGTCGACTTTTGCCTCAAATCTTTATATGGTTAAGGTAGTTACATGCTTTCTCAGTCTCTATTACTACCTACTTTCATCTTTTTCTTGCAAGCCTTGTTTATTTGCGCTGTAAATAAACAGCCTGTGGTCGAGTATCTGCGAGATTGCTCAGTCGGGATTGGTGCAGTTAGTTACCGTACATCGAAATATTGTGTCATTGCTGCTTTGCTGCTTGCCACAAGCTGCTCTCTGCCACCGCGTAGACTGCCATTACTTGTTTCGGATAGGAGTCATCCGTATGGATCCCGTCTTTTGTAACTCAGTGGCGGGTCAACTTGCCCAAAATACACGTTGGCCCACCAGAAAAGCCGGGGTCTTCTATCGGGCGCAGCTCGGGCAAGCCTCGCGTTGCCTGGGTTGCTTGGTTTGCTAAATGAAATCAGCCACTCATTGTTTACGACTACGATGCTCTGGTCATATCTCAAATGACAGTTTAAATGCGTTGTATGTTTCTTGAGCAAGAAATGGATATTTGTGAGGTGACCAAACGCGAGATGAGGCGATGAGATGCACTTAGCAAGCCGTCTTAGCAAATCATCTTCGCTTTAATCCATTTCGCCTCTTAAGTGAGGTAAGTACCTCCCAAGAGGATTATTTTATGATATCTAAGATGCGTAATTGGAATCAGATCATCATGACCTCCCAGAATGGCGTCCACAAAGTGCCTATTCCACTACCAAGCAGGTCATTTTGCTATCCGCATAACTTTACCGAATTATCTTGTATATTCATTGAAATGAGTATTAGAATAATTCCCAAATTGAATTTATGTAGTCCTCATATCCGCCGAGAAAGATTCGTGAAAGGAATATTAGTCTTAGGTACTTATTTTGACGGCTCGTACCATAATAAAACAGCGAATGGCGTGCAGGCTAAAAGTATCACCAAAACAGAAAAAAAAAACCTCAATATTTTTTTCAGCTGAGAATCGAAACTGCTTCACCGCTAACACGCACAACTATCTGCCTTTCTCAAATAATATAATGCCTAAAGAGCTTACCGAACCTCGCCCAAGCACCGAGATGCTACGGAAAGCTTTTATCGTGGTATAAATATTATTCTATAGTATTTTGCGCGCAGCACACACGGGCGTAGAAAGGCCGCCTTTGCAAGCCTATGTCCACGGGTACTTCGTATGTCCTCGTTGCGAACTTGCTACAGTACTCTCTCCACTTATATCAACAAATTAAAACCTTCCAAAGGCCTCAGAACATACCACCTTAGGCATAGCCCAGACTATTCACCCAATTAAATTTGAATTTGATAATGTATCGTAGCAAGGTACGTACTTGAGGACAAAACTCGAGGCTGATATCTAAACAATTAT